GGCGGGCGCCGGCGGGGCCCTGGGGGCCCGGCATGGCCTCAGCGGGCACCGCGGCGGGCGAGCACTCTCACTATGGCCTCCTCGGGCCCCTCGGGCTCAGCGGCCCGTCCCAGGCGTCAGGTGCGCCCTGTGGGAAGGCGCAAGAGTGGGGCGGGGGCGTTAACCCCGGGGCACGCTGCCCTCCGAAGCTGCGACGGTCAGGGCCAAGATCGCCAGGGGCGCGCGGTGGGCAGGCGTGCCGGGTGCTGGCGCGTGACTGAGGCGTGCGAGGAAGGCTCCGCGCAGCAGGTGGGCGCGAGGAGGAGAGCGCCGGGCAGGAGAGAACCCGAGTGTGAGCGACAGAGTATGTGTGCATGTGTGTGCGTGTGTGTGTGCGTGTGTGTGTGTGTGAGAAAGAAAAAGAGCGCGAGCGAGCGCTCCGGCGAGAAGGATGGGAGAGTGCGCGCCAGGGAGTGTGAGTGTTTGTAGACGTGCGCGAGCGCCTGCCCCAGGGAGTGTGCCAGAAGGGGCGTCTGGCCGGCCCAAGGCTCCGGCTATCCGGGGGGGACCGAGGAGGACTCGAGCCAAGCTCCGAACCCTCCCTCCCGGCCGCTTCCCCTCCCAGACTCGGTGACAGAAGAGCCAGTCCTGGATCTTTAACTCCTTCCTCCCCGTCCCGAAGTCTCCGGCTCGCCCGTCCCCCCAGCCGCGCGCTCTCCGCGCAGACCCTCTTCCCGTTTCTCGGCGCGCCCTCGCGGGTTGAAAGGAGGGCGGAGTAGAGATGCGTGCTGAAGCAGCTGGGCTTCGCTGGCGCCTCACCTCGTCCCTCCCCTCCTACCTGGTACTCTGGGGAAGAAGGAAAAGATGTGCTGGTTTAGGATTTTGGTAAGAAAAGGTGTGAGTGTGTGGCTATGTGTATCTTGGGGTGGGGCGAGAGGGTGACGGGTTTCTGGGAAAGGATTTAAAGTATAAGGCGACCCGAGTCCTCTTTACCTAGTGCATTTACGGTTCTCCGTCCCTCTCCTCCCCACCAACTTCCAGATTGTGTGGATTAGCCGAAAAAAGGGACCAGGTTGCAGGGTGGAATTAACTCTTTAGTTCCCGTATGGTTGCAGGCGGGGTGGGAGTGGGGGGTGCGGAGCGCGGGTAGGTACTGGGGGGAAAAGAGGTGTGACCTCCCGACTGCACCTGGAACGTGAGTGTGTGTTTGTTTGTGTTGAGTGGGACTGTTAAAATGGGGTCTGTGGTGGCGATGGGTGATGGTGCTGGAAATGATCATTAGAGGCATAAATTGGGGAAAAGGTTTGGGCATTTGACCGCGGCCCCCTGGCCCAGACCAATGTAGAATCAGTCTGCCCTCAAATGGTCAGCAGGCGTCATTGACGGTATTCCGGCCCCAATCTCTCCAACTCTGTGCCTAAGCAGGACATATGATTTGCAAACTTCGGCTCAGCAAACATTTCCAGAGGGCCTTCTGTGCGTCAAGCAAGCACCCGCTAGGTGCTAAAGGCATAAAGATGAACACATATAGTCTGTGCCTTTGAGGAGCTCCATTTGGAACAAATAGCCATAATGCAATATGCATTAAGCACTACAACAGAGACACGGATAAATTGCTAAGGAGCCCACATGAGGGCTATTAATTCTGTCTGGATTGAGGCCAGCAAAATTTCCAAAGAGATTCAGCAAGGGTAGAAGGCTGAGAAAGGTATTCTGTTTAGAGAGAGCAAAATACTAAAGTATAGTTCCTATATATGGAATTTTAGGAGACTTTTGAATATTCTTATTCTCTAGAGCAAATAGTGGCCCATGGACCAACTTCAGAAGGCAGGCATGCTTTGTTTAGCTTTCATTCCCTCTCTATATGTTTTATTAAATTGCCCACACTTAAAAATCAGGAGATGGTACATGAATATTTGGATTTCTGACTTTTCTTGAAATATTTCAAAAGCTGATAATATAGGTCCTGCATCCCTCCATGAACAATCGGCTGGGACAAATATCCATTTCCTCGTCATGGTTTCTTTTTTTTTTTTTTAAAGATGACCGGTAAGGGGATCTTAACCCTTGACTTGGTGTTGTCAGCACCACGCTCACCCAGTGAGCTAACCGGCCATCCCTATATGGGATCCGAACCCGTGGCCTTGGTGTTATTAGCACCGCACTCTCCCGAATGAGCCACAGGCCGGCCCCTCATCATGGTTTCTACCCACCTTCCTTCACTCAGGTGCATTACTTTCTTGGAGTTGTGTTTTCAACCCTGATCTAGGATGTAAGGTGTATGCATGTAGAAATGACTGAGGAGAAGAGGCAGGAAAGAGGGCAGTGGTCATTAAAACTTTCACGTGACAGGCATAATATCTTTGTCTTGTAATGGGGTGGGGGGAGGGGGAGGGCTCCAGAGGTTACAGAGATATATAGATAGGAGATGGGGAAATGTTTTGTAAGTAGAATCAATTGGACTTTGGTAAGGAAAGACAGTCTAGGTGAGATTGACCCCCTTAGCTGAGAAGCTAAAGAAGGTTTTGGGAGGATGATAATTTTAGTTTATTGAGTTTGGTGTCTATAGATATCCAAGTGGAGGTGTTCAATAGGCCTCTGGTTTTGTGCAGCTGGAGTTCAGAAGACTGGACTAGAAATATAGTGTAGTAATTGAGCTCCTCTCAATAATGGTAAACTAACCATCAAACTGCAGACAACTAAAAATGCTGGATAAGACACTTTTTATTTTATTTTTTTAAAGATGACCAGTAAGGGGATCTTAACCTTTGACTTGGTGTTGTCAGCACCACACTCTCCCAAGTGAGCCACAGGACAGCACTGGATAAGGTACTTTTTAAAAAATCAAAGAACTAAAAAGATAGTGAGGATACATAAATGTGAGATCATGAAAGACAGGAAAACAAAGAGGTGAGGCCAGCAGGAGGGCTGCCTTTGCCCTGGAGTCATTTGCTGATCTGGAATTGGTGGCAGAAAATAGGCTGTGTGGAGTTAATGAGACAAAAATTGAAGCCCAAGGCCGGCCCGTGGCTCACTTGGGAGAATGCAGTGCTGACAACACCAAGCCAAGTGTTGAGATCCCCTTGCCGGTCATCTTTAAAAACAAACAAACAAACAAACAAACAAACAAACAAACAAACAAACAAAAACTGAAGCCCAAATGTCCCCAAAGGTGAGATCCTGGTAAACTACCTTCCTGTTTTGGGTTAGGTTCATTAGGGTTCCGTTCCAAAAGGCTGCACTACTAGGGGAAACCTGAGAGTAGGGTAAACCAGACATAAATAGAAAATCCAGACCCCAAATGTTCAAAAACCGAAAATCCAGACCCCAAATGATCAAAAACCAAAATGAAGAACCAACTGATAAGTTTATCAGCAGGTTAGACTCAAGAGAGGAGTGAGTAATGAATTGGAAGGAAGGACTGAAGAAACTACCCAGAATGAAGCACTGATAAAAAGGAATGAAAAACATAAAAGAGAGGGTAAGAGACAAAGAGGATACTGGGAGAAAGTCTAACAAATCTTTATTTGGAGTCCCAGAAGGAGGGAAATAATAGGTAAAAACAATACTTGAAGAGATAACGGCTGAGAAATTTACAAAATGGATGATAGAACTCAAGCCATGGATTCAAGAAGCTCAACAAGCCTCAAGGAAGATTAAAAAAAAAAAAAAACCCAAACCAAATATAACCAGGTCTGGCTAGTTAGCTCAGTCAATTAGAGTGTGGTGTTATAACATGAAGGTCAAAGGTTTCCACACCAGCCAGCCACCAAAAAAAAAGAAAGCAAGAAAAAAAATCCATATCTGGACCCCTCAGAGTGAAACTGCAGGAAACTTAAATCAAGGATGAACTCTTTAAAATAGTCAGAAAAATGTTTCATTAACTTCAAAGGAGCAAGAATTAGTTTGACAACTATTTTTCCCCCACAGCAAAAATGGTAGCCATAAACAGTAGAATAATATTGTAAATACTAGAAATAAAGAAAATAACTTCTAACCTAGAATTCCATAACCAGAGAATTACATATACACCTTGTTTCAAAAACAAGTTGAAGGCCGGCCCGTGGCTTGCTCGGTAGAGTGCGGTGCTGATAACACCAAGGCCACAGGTTCGGATCCTATATAGGGATGGCCGGTTAGCTCAAACAGTAGAATAATATTGTAAATACTAGAAGTAAAGAAAATAACTTCTAACCTAGAATTCCATAACCAGAGAATTACATATACACCTTGTTTCAAAAACAAGTGGAAGGCCGGCCCGTGGCTTGCTCGGTAGAGTGCGGTGCTGATAACACCAAGGCCACAGGTTCGGATCCTATATAGGGATGGCCGGTTTGCTCACTGGCTGAGTGTGGTGCTGACAACACCAAGCCAAGGGTTGAGATCCCCTTACCGGTCATCTTAAAAAAAAAAAAAAAAAAAAAACAAAGGTGAAATAAAGACGTATCCAGAAAAACCAAAAACCAAGAGAGTTAGCCACCAGCAGAGGGGCACTAAATACTCAAGCAGAAGGAATATTATTCCAGACGGAAGATTGGAGATGAAGGAAGGAATAAAGAGCATTTTTAAAAATGGCAAACCTAAATGGTTAATCTAAATGACAATTAACTTAATGAAAAAGCGTTAATGTATTGTGGGATTTAAGATGTATACAGAATTTAAAGTCTGTATACAAATACACCAACACCTACCCAAGAGAAGTGAGTACATCTGACTACAAGAAATCTTAATTCTAATGTAATGGCTCCAACTGGAAACAACCCAAATATATTTGAGTGTGTCTCAGAGAGTTGTAGGTCCTGAATTCAACAGGAGAATGGATAAATAAACTGGTATATTTCTACAACTGAACGCTACTCATGAATTTAAAAAATAACAGAT